ACTAGCGTGTCGTCTACATATCTCCACCAACATTTTAGTGATGATCTGAATGGTTTAAGGGCATTCTCCTCCCAATAATCCATGAAAATGTCAGCTATAATTGGTGAGATAGGCGATCCCATGGCTACTCCCTCATTTTGTTGGTATATTTTTCCTTCGAATGTGAAATATGTTGTTGTCAGACAGAATTCTACCCCTTTTATTATTTCTTCTACGGATAACTGTGTTCTGTCTTTCAGGCCATTATCTTCATTTAGTTTCTCTTTCAGTGCAATCATGGCCATTTGAATGGGTATTTTCGTATAAAGACTGTTTACATCAAAGCTAACTAGTATTTCTTCCTCCTCTATTTTAGTGGTTTTTATTCGCCTCACTAATTCAAATGAATCTACTATTCTAGCTTTTGAGTTGTCTCTTGTCGGTCTTAGTATTGTCGAGAGAAATCTGGATAGCATATACGTTGGTGTGTTTCTGAAGTCTACAATCGGTCTTATTGGATATCCCTCTTTATGCAATTTTATCTTACCATATATCCTAGGTACATTACAGGATTTTGGCATAATTTCAAACCATTTTGACTTACCGATTACTTCTTTCATTTGTCTAACTACCTTTGCTGTTTCTTTCATTGTTTTGTTGATGATCGTTTCAGCTGATTTAGTCATTATGGTATAGGGTCCAGATTGTAGATGTTCATTCATCTTTTGATTATATGTTGTTTTGTTAAGTAATACTGTTGTGTTTCCTTTGTCTGCTTGAGTAATGACAATGGATTTGTCTGCTTTTATGTCTTGAAGTGCTTTTAGTTCCTCTTTCGTTATATTTGGTTTTTCTGCTTTTTGCTTTTTTAATGTAAGTGCACATTGTGCTCGTACCAGTTCAGCTTTTTGCTTGTCATATCCTTCGAGTGCTGTTTCAATTACAGGTATGATGTCTTCAGGTTTTAATCTTTTGTTGCTGATATTGAAGTTCATCCCTTTCATCAATACACTTTCCTCTGCTTCTGTTAACTTTCTGTCTGACAAGTTTACAATCCAATTGGCTTTAGTTACTTGTCTGTCATTCGGAGTTTTCGCTATCATGAGTTTATTAAATTTTTTGATTTGTTTCTGCTTTGTTTTTTCATAAGTAGTTTCTTTTCGTTTTTGTGCAACTTGTAGTATGCTTTCATACTTTTCTTTTTCGATTACTTCTTTCAATTTTTCTTTTATTTCATTAATATCTTTCCTTATCGTGAATAGCTTTTGTATAATTCCACGTAGGTTTTCTTTGATGCATACTTTTGAGGCATGTGTGAGCGCTGCATTTGCTTTATCAGTAGATATTGGTGATTTTAATTTCATGTATACAGGAATAATTCCATTTTTAAGGCATCTGATGTTGAAAATTCGATGGTTCATAAATCGAGATTCAGCTTGATATAAATGTGTGAGTTTGTTGGCCAGTCTTTTAATGGGAAGACCGTTTATTAGATTTTCACACCTTTTAATGATGAGAATGAATTTATTTAAAAAGTGCTTTAATTACACAATATGGAATTCTCAGCAGGTAGTACAAGCTACAATTTAATTTTCCCTCCATATCATGTAGTAGGGAGAAAAAAAAACAATTACAGAAGTAATTTCGACATTTCCAGTAGCAATAATTACAATAATACATATTTAATAATTCCCATTGTAGCATTAAGAACACAATATTCAGCGAAGAGACTCTGGTTTTACAAAGGAGAAAGGAAGTGTTTGCGAAGCTCTATTCTGGAACACCTGATCGACTTTTGTCACTCTGTCAACCCTGACCATGATTTCAAGATCATATATAGAATCCATGCTAACTTCCCGCGTTTTCTTCGTTACAGACTTCTAAAGACAGCTGAGGCCTTGGCAATTCATGACTTTAAGCCAGACCTTTGTGTACAAAAGATTTATGTACAATCCCTACTTCTGTCTTGGCCATAGAGGGATAGACATTTATTTATTTTGTTTATTTAGTTATTCTATGCACATTTCCCTCATTACTACGATTTTTATTATTACAATTATTATTATTATTACTATTCTCACTTTGAATCTTTTCCACTTGACACACTTGTCATTTTAAACCCAAAATTATTAATTCTTATATTTTTTATTTTTACAATATTGAATTCTATCTTATCAGATTTCACACCATGTTATGTAACATTTTATATTCGTCTACTAATCTTATAATTATGTACCCCTTTCCAAAATCTATACACCTTATGTATTATTCTATATATGACATTAATTATTTTGCCACTTTACATTAATCTATGATTATAATCACAAATATTTTGATTTGCATTTCATACTACTATTGTTATTTCATGTATTCACATGAAATCTGCAACAGTTAGTCTAAGCCACGTAGGAAGGTGTAGACTTCCCGGTTGGGGTCCTCGGGACGGTAAAAACCATTTGGTGACATGGCTCAAAATCGTTCTCAGTGGCGCAGATGCATCCACTCCTTGTGACTTATGATTTCCAATAAAACTGTTTTGTTCTTCGTTATTACTATTTCTTTGTCTCACACCTCTGTTTACTGTCTCTATTATGCTTTTCTTGTACTTTCTTCTCTTTCTTTGTGTGCTACATGGAGTGTGGCGACTTGGCACATATGTGCAGAGTTCTACATCGAAAACAGACAGACAGACATTCACACCTTTGACCTTATTCCCTCAACTGATATAATTTCTTTATAAAACCATATTTATACGATTGATGATAAATTCGTTGAAAAGAGTCTATCCGCAGAATATTGTGTTCTTAAAAAATATGTAATTTTAAGTATTGATATTTGTAGGGATTTTGCTTGATTGGATGTGAGGATTTCATCATGAGCTGACATTAGTTACAGAACCACTGGAAAACCAACCACCTGGGAGTACTGGATAACTGTTTCGACAGCCTAGTTTGGAGGTACTTCATCAGTACGCATGCACCGAGTGACAATAATTTCATGATAATGATAACAAGAATAATGATAATAATAATAATAGTGATTTTTTTCCTTCACGTTCCCCAGTGGAACATAGGGCTTCAAGCTAGTGGCCTGAAGTTTCTGTAGCAGTGTTTTTTATTGTACAGGACGGGGTTGCTAGCCTCATGCCCAACCTTTCCTCTTTACCAGCATTATTTCTGGCTTAGCAAGGTAAAGGAGTGCGTCCAGTGGCCGGGGATCGAACCCCGGACCGTGTGCAAGGTCGGCGAGCATCCTAACCGCTATGCCACCGACGCACAAAAATGGTGATAATAATAATAATAATGACGACACCAACAATAAAGAATCTAAATCATCAGCAGTAATTCTATACAACGAAGGAACCTCGGTAACCGCGTTACGCAGAATTCTTAACAAGTCAGGAATAAAAGTGGTATTCAAACCCACAAAGTCAATTAGAAACAAGCTTTGTCGGTTAAAGGATCAATCCTGTGGAGCCTTTAAAACAAAACAGTTTAGTTTATCTAATACCCTGCTTGAATAACTGTCGGGTCAAATACATAGGTCAAACTAGTAGAACAGGGGCAGTCAGACTAGCCAGTCAAGAAACCTAACAAAATCTAGATTAGTTGACCCAAATAAGATAAGAAATCTAGAGAATAGTTCAGCTATAGCATGCAGTTGCACACAGCCATACAACAAGAAAGGATAAGATGATAGTTTCAGAAACTAATGTAACATGGTGGGGGGAGAGATTGATAACAGAAGCTTTGTTTATTGAATCAACTGCAAATCAACACGTGTAATAGGAATGATCCAACACCTGTCCATCCAGATATCTGGGGAATTCTACTACCCCTACGACAAATAGGAGAAAACAGAGAAAACTATAAAACTCAAGTTTCAAAGTCGTGTGATTACAATTAATATGATTATGAACAGTAAATTTTGTTCGAAACTGTGTCATCCAGTAAATAGTATAGTTTCACAGTCTGTGTGATACATCTAATAAACAAACCAATATGGAATTACTTACTACAAGTTTTACACATATATTAATATAACAATAATTCAAATTGATAGGAAGAATGTAGACAGCAGTTTGCTTACTGCCTCACTGTAATTCAGTGGAATTTCGTACCAATTAAGGTATCACTGAGTTGTTAGATTTAGTTGTGGGAGTCTAATATCTTTTATGATTGCTCCTAATCTTACGTGAAGAGATATGAGAGGCTGCGGACAGTCTGCCAAGATGACTTTTGTCAAATTCATAGATGAATTTAAGTGTTTACCAACATTGACATCCAACAGTTAGTTTACAGACACATCACTCACCCTACGGACAGTTTTCAATTTTCTTCATGTTGTAAAAAAATCTTTTTTGCGTAATCTAGGAAAGATTAAGTGGGATAGATAAAGAGTCGTAGGCGACGTGCAAGAGTTAAAGGCGGACTGTCTTTACTTACTTATGTAGGACACTAAACGAACTATTTTTCTTATTGATGTGCTTTCGTTCTCTAAGCTGGGTGGTTTTAGTGCGAAGCTCTCAATATCTTTCAGGACAACAGCTTAATTAGATCAAAATATTTTTCTAGAAATCAACAAGATGTAGGATTTGATCAAAGCCTGCTTATTTTCCTCGTCCACTTATGCATGTATTAAGTCATTTGCTATCCTGTTACGTTCAAAATTCACAAATCAGTTTGATTGTCACTGTTGTTCTCAGGTTAATGAAATATTTACATTAATTTTAGGACTGTACATAGTGTATACAAGAGGAATGATATATGGAAATTTCAAGAATTAAGACACATCTTAAAGTATTTCAGCTACACACCCTTATGCATGTAGTTATAAACAAATATTATTTAATGACTAAGCAGTTAGGTTATCTCACTTTGTCCTCTATTTTTTTGTTGGTTTTCTTGACAGACTAACGTAAATTAGGTCGATAGCATTCTTCTATATATCAGCCAATCAAATATGAGTTAGTATAGTTGTCATAGCGACGGAAAATAACCGCGAAATTTAAACAGTGAAACATGAATGCAGAGTAAGCTTTTATATTTCTACACTGATTTTGTATTTAAAACTGACTAGAAAGTATTCAGTAAGTCTCAAGAATACTAATACGTACTAATGCTTTATAGCGTTGCCTTATTTGTTTTGAATTTTTTGGTGATGTTTTTGAAATGGCCAGTTGTAAAAAAGTATATCTTGTTGTTTATTTGAGGTGATATGTTGTGCCGCTGCTTAATATACATTTTACAGCTTCAGAATAATTTTATGTGGAACTAAGTAACTAGCTACATTATTTAATTTTCATGTTAGTACTTTGGAGTTAGTGATTCACAAGTGTCTAGAGCACTTGTTCCGAAACTGACTAATTCTTGTAACTATCTTTCAGTCTGTCGTTCACTGCCACTGTTTTGAGCGGAATTAGAATATGATTTAATTATACTCCAGTGTGAATCAGAGTTACCAGATTCCACATCTAATGACTTGTCTGTGAAGTCTTGGTTTCGCCTTATGATTCATTGAATAAGACATTTGTTTCGGTCATGGTGAAAACATCGTAGAGGGAATTAGTTTTCTTTTGATCGATTGGAACTAGACGACTTTGACTCGGTATGTAGGTATTTTGGAAAAAGAGGCTTTGTCATGCTTGGCAGTCATATATTGCTAACTATTTAATATGTTTAAGAAGAATCAATTCTGCTTCATTAAAAATGGCCTTGATTTAATCCTGACAGTAAATTAAAGTACATTGTATGCACAGCATGATGTAGGGCCTCTGTTCCGCATGATAATCTGTTAACTTCTTCGTAATCCACAAAACTGTGTGCTAATATTCTGGTGATTCTACTTGGCTATACAAGTGTGCGTCAGTTCCAGTTTTGCAGTTTAATGTAAGATATCACAGAGTTAACTTCATAGTGAACGTATTATGCTGCCTATTTGTGAGTGTTTTTGAAATATGAAAGAGTTTTAGACAGCTAATCAGCCTTCAGATTACCGGAATGTCTTTACTGCAGTCCAACCATCCATAAGTTGACGTCTGTCGGCTTCAACTTTTGGTGCGAAATACGGCTACGTCTTCATCGACCGCATCAGTATTAACCACTTCAGTCCACCTTTCTTCTGATCACAGTTTTTAACGTTAAGCAGTGGATTATGAAACAACTGGGGGAAAGGAACCTTCTAAACACAACTTTCCTGTTATCACTTCAGTCAGTGCAACGCAAAGAATATTGATGAAGGTGAGAATAAACGGTACTTTCCTTGATGTCATGAATAATGATCTTACGGAGTGGGTGATGGCTGTGGATTTAAAACAAAACTATAAATTTGTAATTTCGTATCATAAGTTGACGCTTGAAAACATTAGAAGTCTATGGATTATTCAGTATGTCATCATATCAACCAATTTATTTATAGTATTGGTTATCTCGGGAGTTTGTTTGATTGGATGAAGGATTTCAACACGAGCTAACATCAACTAGGGAACCATTGGAGAACCCAAGAGTAGTGGGTATCTGCTTTGTCCCAGTTTGGACTCTTCAACAGTACGCACCCACCATCAGGGTTCTAACCCACGACAACTCACGACAAAGCGCGACCACTAGCCAGTGTCTTCTCCGATGAGTTACTGCCTCGTCTTCAACCTGCTGCATCCTACTGCTGGTCACGGCTTCCCACTTGAACCTAAGGTCACTGCCTGAATAGGGCTAGTGGCTAGTGAGCATCAGAATTATTTTCAAGTACGAGTTCGCCTTGTAACCATGAGGTCCTGGGTTCGAATAGTGGGTGTGGGTGCGTACTAATGAAGAGTCCCAAAACTAGGACGAAAACAGCTGTCCACTACACATTTTATCTATGTCTTATGTATACATTTATAGATCATATGATGGCAGTGAAGAGGCTCGAGGTCAGAGACATCCTATTTAATAGAGTCCGTTGGTTCTGTATTACGCGATTACATAGCTGAAGTTCTGATCAAGCGACCTACTGATCCAGTCGAGTATTTAGGCCGTTGTTTGAAAATGTATGCTCAGCTCAGGAATGATGAAATAAAGGTGAGTACTGCCTTTCTTCTACATATATACATATATATATATATACTTACACAAACATAATAATAAGCGAGACAGAGAGAGATTAAGTATAGTATAAAAATGTGGTGATGGTTGAAACCAAATAGTCAGTATAAGTTTTAAGAAACATGAAGATACAACTGTATGATAAATGCCAACATGCACGGAACTCATATTACGCAGATTGTCCTGACTGAAAACTACCCCCACTGCTTTCCCTACGGGAAGTAGCGTCATTTTGCAGAGCGGCTTGTTTGAGACCTGGGCTACCAAAATACTCCAATACTATATTGCATATGGTTTCGCTTGTTCTACAGAAATGTGACCTCTATTGTTGTTTTCAACTTTCGTGAGTACTCAAAATGTCGGCTACTCGCTGATTCCTAAGTTTCTACTAAATCTGAGACAAATAAAAATCATCTATGGAATCACTATCAGTTACTGTCTTGCCTGAAGATCTCGGAGGAAGAGAAACTATTATTTCCGGTGAAAATTCTGTACATCATATGAACACTGTTCAGAATAAACTGATTATTACTGTTAAAGCTGTGAAGCAGAAGTTTTAGTCGATCCCCAAAGTCCAACTTCATTATTTTATGGAGCGCTTGCCTCTGAAGATTGCGTGTGGTAGGGTTTTATTCATATCTCAGTCTTTTCACTAAAGTCCTCCATCTGAAAACTGACTCCATGAAGTTCTATTCTTCTGAGTATTTTTAAATGACTATGAAACCTAATCCTGAACTGAATGATTATGGCGATGCAGTGCATATTGCACTAGGTCAAACGTTCTGAATCAGTCACACAAGAAACCAGAGTGCTTGGAGATCTCTAATAGCTATCTCCAGAATTATGGACATTTGTACAAGTGGTGGACTAGATTATGCGTCAGACTGCTGGGGTCGAGGAGTCAGGAATACGCTGGGCGACTGATAAGAAGACTCTGGAAGATCTGGATTTCTCGCGTGGATGATATATGTCTAACGTCACACAAACTCGAAGACTTGCAAGTGAAAACCAATAAACTGGCTGAAGAAGCTGGCAGCGAAAACAGGACTGCAGGTGAACACAGAGAAGGCGGAGGTGATGAAGATAACCAACCAACAGCAACAACAACCAGCACCAACCACCACCAACGAGAGATATTTAACAGAGGCTGCCTCCTTCACTTATTTAGGCAACAAGCATCGTTTCAACTACAGGCAGTTGGTATGGACGAAGATGTCAAAGTCTTCACTGGGTCCATAGTGAAGATCAAACGGACAGAAAGGATGACCAACAAGAAACCCTAGCGATGAACACAAACGAACCAAGCGTCAATCGCTCAACAAATATGCAGGAGAAAATGAATATAGATTGATCGGGCATATATTGAAGAGACCGTCGAACGACATCGCCCTTCAGCTCGTCAAGTGGAATCCAAATGGAAGCGACGAGTGAGTCATCAGTGGGAGGGTGACATGGAGGAGGTCGTGTGAGGAAGAGATGGGAGAGTTTGGCCAGTTTTGGAGTCAGCTGAAAAGGTTTCAGGAGACAGAACGAAGTGTAGATGCGTTGTTGAGGCCCTATGTTCCACTCCGAAGACAGGGGAATAATAATAATAATGAAAACAATAAAGTACATGTGAAATGTTTATCTCATAGACTCTATTCAAAATGTACAAGAAATAGTAGAAAGCAGCAATACACACTGTCCAACCAACGATTACCATAAAATATTATCAGCATCCTAAGATTTCATTAGTGAAGGCTACCTAAAAAAAGAGACATTTACACGTAAGATATGATTCATCCTGACAATTAATGTTTCTTAAACTACCATCAGTAATATTTTTATCACTCGAAATTGAATTCAAAATGCCATAAATGTAATTAATACTAGTTAATGTTGTAGCATTTATTCAGTAACTTTTAGTCAAAGCTGCATATACATACTTATATATTTATCCACCCATTGGGAGGGACTAAAATCACTTTTAATGTCAAATGGAAATGTCAGCGTACAAAAGCGTATTACTATCGATTCATCGCATCTTTTAAAGTAATTTTTTCATTAAAAAAGAAAACTGAAGAAAAATGTTGACATTCTGTTTTACAAATTTTAGTAGATTATTTAAGGAAGTATATTATCGATTTAATTTGAATTTTTCCGCTAATTATAAATTTGAAAAGAAATAAGTTCATCGATTGGTTAGAAACAAAAATAACACTAATAACAAGTTAAATAGGGATAATGGATATGCTATGAAATATCAAAAGAATCCATAAGCTGGATGGAAAGACCCTGTAGACCCAAATGAACAATTATTAATATTATCATTATATCCTTTAATTCCTGGAGGAACATAGGGCTTCAGCTGTGCACCTCTATTGCCTTCTGTTTTCTGCCAACTTTTTCACCTCGCTCCAAGTCTGCCCACATGCTTTCATCTCCTCCTCGCATGATCTCCTCCAAGTCACCCTCGCACTGACGACCAACTCGCCACTTCCCTTTCGGATTCCACTCGAGCAATGGCTTGTCTAGTGATGTCACTTGATGGTTTCCTCAGAGTATGGCCAGCCAATCCATCTCCATTTCTTCCTGCCTATTTGTTTCACATTCGGTTCCTGGTTGATTTGCTCCCAGAGATCTTTGTTGCTGATCTTTTCAGGCCGGCCATCTGATATTGAGTATTGAGCGAAGACAACTGTTGATGAAGGTCTGAAGTTTATTTGAGATGCTCTTTATGACGCGCTAGCCAAGTCTCTGATCCGTACAGTGAGTAGCACTGACTTCACATTGGAGTTGAAAATCCGGATCTTATTTTTAATGCTGAACAAAATAGTATAATTTACAAAATACCTTGCAATGACTGGGAGTTAAGTCAACTCCATAGATCATGAGTATTCAGATTAATAGAACATAAGAGTTCAGGTAAAGTTAGAATGATTGATCCCACGAAGATAAGTAATTTAGAAAAAAAAACTCAGCAATTGCACTGCATGCATTAACAACGCACAACCACAAAATAGGGAGAGAGTAGGCTGAAACTTTAAAATGTAATATAGGTAGGTGGAGAGAGAGAGATCGATTACTGAATCCTGCCTGGTTCATCGAGTCTACACACAAACCATGCAATACAAATGAATCAACGCAAATACCAGAGATATAGAAGATATTATTACCGCCAGTCAGTCAAATCAGAGGAGGATAATAAATAATCTTATATTGTATTCAACTGACATTATAAGTTTCCAACAAGTTATTTATTTTACAATAAAAACATCTTATCTCCCATCTTTATGACTAAAAACGCCAGCCTAATTTCCTATGCTATTGTATTTTTATTGATAACACAAATATTATTTCCTAATATATTTTATCTCTCATAGTAGATTGGCTAACTATACTTGTCTTGCCCATTCAAACCCACAAATTCAATTAGAAACAATCTTTACTGGTTAATGGATCCTGTGGAGCCTTTAAAACAAAACAATTTAGTTTATTTAATACCCTGCTTGAATGACTGCGAGGTCAAATATATAGGTCAAACTAGTAGAACAGGTGAAGTCAGAATAGCCGACCATAAAAATCTAGCAAAATCCAGATTGATTGACCGAATAAGATAAGAAATCTAGAGAATAGTTCAGCTATAGCACTCACTACATGCAATTACAAACAACCATACAATAGGATGGGATATGATGACAGTTTTAAAATCTAATTTCACAGCTGACTGGAAGCAGAGATTGATAACAGAAGCTTTGTTTATCGAATCAACTGCAAATAAATACATGTAATAGGAATGATTCAACACCTCTCCAGATGTCTCGAAAATTCTACTTTTCCTTGAATTACAAATAGGAGAAGACAAAGAAAACTATAAACTGAAGTTTTGAAGTCGTCTGATTATAATTGGTGGAATGATTATGAACGGTAGTAAACTGTGTTCGAAACGCCATCCATTAAATAATACCATTTCACAGTCTGTGTGATACATCTAATAAACAAACTAATATGGAATTACTTACTACCACAGTGCCCAAGTTTCACACATATATTAATATAACACTTGTCTTAATTCCCATCATATTATAATTAATGCTAACACTAATAGTATTTGCGAATGCACTTTATCTTCCTTTCTGTTTCACGCATGTCTTATATTGGATTTTATTAATATGTCTAATTAGTTTTCACTCATATGTATAAACGAAGCAAGAAAGTTATGTGGGAGTACCTTGATATGATTATGAGCAGGAATGAGTTGTGCTCGAAACATGGTCACCAGTAAATATTACTGTATCACACACTGTGTGACTTTATTAGAATTAACTTTTATCCTCAATGGAATTATAGTCTACCACAGTGGCCACGCTTTATTCTTAGATGGAAAGACGCTAGAATTCCGAAGCCTGCATGCAGAGAGAGAGAGAGGATTAGATTGTCTACCTTGCAAGGAAGATTATCTCTCTAGACCATTACAATCAGTGAACAGTACGCCAACGTCATGCTGGCTGAGATTTTTAAGCCCTTTCGTCGTCAATTACCTGCAGACACTATATAAACCAATTTATTTTATTTCTTTGTAAAACTGGATAATTTTGATGTGGCCAAAAAAATTTATGCTCAATTTCGATAAAACTTCCTCCGCATAATTATCAATAAGGAATATTCTTGACATTTTAAAGAAATTTGTGTTCCCCTTGAAAATAAGAACGTAAGCTATTCCGCTTAAAAACGAAAGATTTCCTCTAGAAATAACATTGGTCACAACAAAGTAGAAAGTAGAGAGGACGTGTTTATTACTTATAGGCTGTCATACATTACACTCCTCATTTTCACAAGGGAAATTTTGATCGGTAGGTATAGTATACATCATAAAATGGGTGGTTTTTGGTGGTTATTCCTTCATGTACGACGTTTTAATAGCTTAAATATATTACTTACACAGGGATGAATGTTTAAGAGGTAACATGTAGTGTTCGACGAAATAATCTTTATTTTATCATTCAGGAATCTGCTGAGGCAGACGGAATCAGCGATAGTGATTCACTGGATAAGTTGGACAATATTTCGGAGGAGATTGAAAAAGAAAAAGAAAAATCTGAGTCAGACGACGGAAGTAATTCGCAGATTGAAGGAGGTATCATCAGAAAGAACAGTCAGACAAACGGACTACTAGATAGTGGAATGGAACAGAAGGTAAACGATGAAGAAGACAGAGAGGTCCATCAACAAAGTGATTTAGAAGATTCTGTACGAGAAACACAGGAAGACGAACAAAGTATATCGAAGTTTGGAAATGAAAGTGAAGATGAAGTCACCTTCGATTCACAGTCAAAGCAAGATGTAAATGATACACCGTATGAAGGTTAGTATTTTTTTGAATTTCAGATTGAATCGCATACTTTCATATCCCTCTAGTGATAAAACTGACGAGGAATTGTATCTGCAGGCGTTTAGCTGCTGTATTTACGTTTGAGGTGGCCCTCAAAGCCTGGTCCTCAATACAAAGCTTTCAAAATCTTGTTTTCTGGTTTCCACATTGACGACTTGACACATTTTGTCATTCCAAAAATTACCAAATGGAATTCGTGTTATTTAGCTGATATTTATGAATGCATTTTTAGAAATTGACTTCATATTAGCTTGCAAGTAATTACTTCTTCTTATTATTACAATCAAAGCTATAAAGAATCAAGTACAAAGTCATAAATTATCTAGAGAAAATCATACAAGTGCCCATCGATTGTGGTGCATGTATGCACAATAAAGACTAGGTCGGTTTAATTACACTCATTTCTGAATAACGTACATGGAGTATGAACGAAATGGTATGCCTTATTTGCATCATAATAGATTATATTTAGTATTAAATGTGTTACCTCAAATTATCATTGAAATTTTGCATTACAGTTTTAAATTAGTAGATTGATATTTGTATAATGGTTGGTAGATGGTTGATGGTAGGAATAAACGCTGAGTTGTGTTCATAATAAGACTGGTTACTTATAGGAATGGATAATGAGTGCGTGTTGTCTAAAAATATAGTTTCAGGATTTCTTCATGAGCTGACATTAGTTAGAGAACCATTGGAAAACCTGGGAGTACTGGACAGCTGTTTCGTCCTAGGTTGGGGCTCTTCACCAGTACGCACCCACCGGGATTCTGCTGATGAAGAGTCCCAAACTAGGACGAAACAGCTGTCCAGTACTCCCAGGTTTTCCAATGGTTCTCTAACTAATGTCAGCTCATGATGAAATCCTGATACCATTCAAATCCCTACAAACCAACACTTGAATAAAAATATAGTTGTTTGGTGCTAAATTGTTAATCACAACTCATCAAGTAAGTTTTTCATGTGGCAACGAAATTGTATAACTTAACAATCTACATATTTGCTTGACTTCTGGCTAAAATTCAGTAACAGAGACAGTCTTCTGTACCAGTGTGCAACCTACTTGTATTATTCCTATTTTTCCTTTGGGCTTTAAGTGGAAAATGGGGCTTCAACAACACGTCTCCACTGTGTTTCCTTTTATGCCATCCACTTCAGCTGGGTCCACGATTTCCCATAATCTCTCATCTGTTCTGTGCACGATCTCCCCCATGTCAACCTCCCACTGGTGACCCACTCATCGCTTCCCATTTCGATTCCACTCGAGGGTATGGCGCGCGACGTCATTCGACGGCCTACTTGTAATGTGTTCTTATTTGATCACTCTCTGAACCCCTGTAACAGTCCTGGCTTTAATTACAGCGTAAGTTGGCATCATATCGGTATAATTACTACATTTTGTTAATTGAAATAAGAAATAGTTTCCGCAGTCCTCACTACCTCCAACTCGTAACTGGAATCGTGGAAGATCAGTAAAGACTCCAGCAGTAACTTAATATCATTGTTATAATGACTGGAATTAAAACAGTCAGTAAGTCTGTGACCACCCTTGGGAGCGTTATTACTTTTTCTGTCTCGCAAGCGAACCCAGAAAGGCGGCATTCATAAAAGTACAGTTAGAGACTGTCTGTGCCATGTGAATTATTAAAAGAATTAGAATAACTTATTAGATAATTCATAAGTTTTAGCTGTATATTTCATCAGAAGGCCAACAAACAAGTCGACATGACGCAGTGATTCATGAATGCATGTATCCAGTCTAGAAATACTACCAACACCACTCACAGAATTACCATTGGACACCATTCCACCAGAAAAAGAAGAAATCTTGAATACAATCGAGCTACTGAACGCTAGAAAAACATCAAGATTGAGTGAAAATCTTCCTGAAGCACTGAAAACTGACCCAGAGACTGTAGTGGATGTGCTCACGCCAATATAGCAAAAATTTGGAAGGGAAAAAAAGGCAATCACCATTTGGAAGAAAGAATATCTCGCAAAACCACCAAACAACGAGGATATAAACAAAATAATACGTCGCGTCATTCTGGAATGACTGGAAGATGCACTGGATGCAGAATTCTGCCGAGAAAACTCTGGATTCAGGAAAACAGCAACTTTACGCATCATCATCGAACAGAATGGCAGTCAAACCCCTGTTTCAGCTTCACCAACTTTGTAAACGTCTTCGACAGTGTGGAATATGAAATAATTCCCATTGTAGCATTAAGAACACAATTTTCAGCGAAGAGACTCTTTTCAACGAATTTATTATCAAGCTGTACAATCGTATATATATGGTTTTATAAATAAATTATATCCGGTGAGGGAATTAGGTCAAAGGTGTAAATACATGAAATAATAATAGTATGAAATAAATTTAAAATATTTGTGATTAGGTTCATAGTTTAAGTCAAGTGGAACAATAATTAATGTCATATATAAGATAATACATCAGGTGTATAGATTTTGGGGAGAGGCATATAATTGTAAGATTAATAGACGAATGTAAAATGTTACGTAATATGGTGTGAAATTTGATAACATAGAATTTAATATTGTAAAAATAAAGATAAAAAGTATACACATGAATAATTTTTGGTTTAAAATGTCAAGTAGATCAAGTGGAAAAGATTCAGAATGAGAGTCGTAATAATAATAATAATGATAATAATAATAATAATAATCGAAGTAATAAGGGAAAAGTACATAAAATAATAAAATAAATAAATGTCTATCCCTCTACGGCCAAGGCAGCAGTAGGGATTGTACATACTTCTTTTGTACACAAAGGTCTGGCTTAAAGTCATGAATTGCCAAGGCCTCAGCTGTCTTCAGAATATGAAATAATTTTGTAACTACTTCAGCACTTTTTTTCCTTAACCTTCCCGAGTGGAATATAGGGTTTCAAGCCAATGGCCTGAAATTTCTGTAGCAGTGTTTTTTATTGTACAGGACGGGGTTGCTAGCCTCATGCCCAACCTTTTCTCTTCACCAGCTTTTATTTCTGGCTTAGCGAGGTAAAGGAGTGCGTCGACGGGGGATCAGCACTATGGCGTGTACTAAATCATCATCATCAGCCCTATTCAACAACTGGCTACGTGACAATGTCACATATCAAGTGGTCCACAACGGAAAACTCAGCAAAGCCTTTGAAGTGAACGCAGAAGTAAGACAAGGCTGTCTACCATCACTGATGATATTCCTAATTGTGGTGGACTGAACAGGATAAGACAAAGATTTGCTGTTGAAGTCCTATATTTCACTTGGAACCTATTGGAATAATTATGATAAACACTAGGAAATCAGCGAAAAGATGTTAGAATGAAATTCATATCAATCAAATACTGAAGGTTCTTTTCTTAATTCGCTGATTTTGTCATTTAGTATCATAACAATCCGTAAATCTAGGAATACGTGATGATGCGAATCAGCCTGTCATTACATTTGAGACAAAACCATGAATTTGATCAAAAACATACATTTGAAACGATTACCTCGTGGGATGACAAAATCTTCTGAAATCAACAAAGTATCAAGAACTCCTTGAAAGTAACTTTCGGAAGATAAATCATTTCAAAACAGAGACATACATCATCTATTCACACTGTATTACCTGTTAGTTTGTGTTTAGCTGAAGTTTGCTGATAACATCTGGTGGCCTGCTTAAAACGTAGGCAACTATAAACCTTCAATAATCATACTGCATATAATTTCTGTTGCTTAATTTCTTTTAATCTAATAGGAATATGATCTCCAGTGGTGTTTCTTACTCTCCTGAGTGTTTAAAATGTTTACAACCTTCTGATTCGCAAGTTACTGCGGAACTTGAGAAAAAGCAAAATCTTGGGGGCGTAGGGGTGGGAACGTTCCTGAATTTTTTTTTATTACCAAGTGCCACTGCCTAAGAAATAATTTTTCAGTTATTATTGTCCTTTGTTTAGGAAAGGTACTCCTGGACCTTTCTTAACTGGCTTTCAAAGAAGTGTCGTGCATATCTTGGAGAAAAAGGAGAAATATCACAACGGATTAGTTATCGCTTCAGATGAGACTGGATGGTGTCATGCTATCCTCAGCCATTCAATATTTTGAGTATTGGTTTTGAAGGGATTTTGTTTGATTGCTTGGAGGGTTCGATCAAGAGCTGACATCAGTTAGAGAGCCACTGAAAAACCTGGGAATACTGGACAGCTGTTTCGTCAGCCTAGATTGAGACTCTTCAGCAGCACACACCCACCACTACGTTCGAACCAGGGACCTTCTGATTACAAGGCGAGCTCCTTCGTAGACCACTAACCAACTGGTTAATTAATCTGGTGCTCACTAGTGACCGGGCCTATTCAGGCAGTTAACCCAAGGTTCTGGTGGGAAGCCGTGACCAGTAGGATACAGAAGGTTGAAGGTAAGGCAATAACTCATCGAAGAAGTGATCGCGCTATATCATGAATTGACAGAAGCTAGAATTCATGGGCCATCGGATCAGGTCCCAGTGGTTTAATTGTGTACGAGCCTTCTTACCTTGTTACCAGAAGGTCTCTGGTTCGAACGTAGCGGCGGGTGCGTACTGTTGAAGAGTCTTAAACTAGGCTGACGAAATGACTGTTCACTGCCCCTAGGTTTTCCAATGGTTCTCTTACTGTTGTCAACCCATGATGAAACCCTCCAACCAATTAATACTTTACTAGAAAATCGTGCAGAAAGAGAAGTTATTACAGAATGAATTCAGCTGTAAATCCTGTAAATGACATAAACACTTCAGAAAAAAGCTTTTATTATTAATGGTAGTAGTGTCGTGAGAGCAGGCTGTCAGCCAAAAATGGTTGACAGTAATTTACGTCAATGTTTACGTCCCCAATATTGGTCTTGAGAAAATATGAACAAAGACTGATTCAACAACCAACCATAGTAGACTTTGCGTAGATACATACAGTTAGCATATAGATGATCTGACATTCAAGAAACAGCCACAAAGAGATGCAAGGTTAACTTTCTGTGAGAAACAACCAATGGGAAGACTAACAATAATCTATAATATGTTCATGAAAATCTATAGATAAGTGTTGATTTCCTTAATAAACGATCTGTTGCCTGGCCCTGGTCTTCTGTTGTTACAGTAGTACTTAGATACTCAGTTAGTGTTTTATTAAAAAGGGTTTATATTTTTTACTCTCTGGTAACTTAACGGCTTCATTTTCATTTGTTTCTACTTAAACCATAGACGTCGGTGATCTTCATGATGAAAAATCAATAACTGATTCTGAAGCATAATTTCTTTAAAACAAATATTATTTGGTTTCATTCAGTATGTTCAATAAACAATACAACAGAAGACTGAAGTACTGGAAATTGGAATTATATGTACATCTATCTTTTAAGACAGAGTTTGAAGTAAACTAAACCATTGGCTTTATTATAATTATTTGGAAGTGTGAAGCGGAATTTGTAATAAAAAGTACAAAAATAAAATATTTTCTGAAATATGAAAAGACATTTTCTATTTAATACATTTGTGTCATAGCGACAGCGCTAGAGAAGAGAGAGATACAATTGGTTGATTTACCGAACGACCTTGAGCAGCCAATCAGATCGTTCAACAGTTTTTTCAACAGTTTCCTTCATGATTCCCCTCTAATGCTCATTCCAGGTAGAGTTAGGTTTAAGGTGAGATTAATGTTACAATTAGGCTTCGGGTTGTGTTTAGGGTAGGTATTACTATTGATTGGGAATAGAGCCTTAAGTTTTGAGTTAGATTACATTTCAGGAAATAGTATTCGATTTATTACTCCCTATTGAAACATACATTTTACAGCATATTAAAGATTTTCATCACGTTTAAATTAAGTTTTCCTCCAGGTTAGACCATGGATTGATATTAGTCAGAGAACCAATGAAAATCAGGGAATATTGGAAAGGTGTTTCATACTAGTTTGGGACTCATTTGCAGCAGGCAGCCACTGGGTTTCAAACTGAGTACTCCATGGTTTTCAATGGTTCTCTGACTGACATCGATCCATGGTCTAATTTGAAAATAAGAGAATCCCAACGGACTAATTCTTGATAATTTTTCTTCATTTAGTCGTTTTAAATTATATTGTTATTGTTCCATTGGATTCTGAGTGGAAAAAGAGAGCCTCAACAGCACATCTCTTTTCCCCTGTTCCTTGCAATCCTCCTTGGCTGGCCCTACGACTGCCCAATAGTCTCTTCCCTCCTCCATGTCACCCTCAAATTGACGCGATACTCGTCGAGCCCCATTCAGTTTCCAGTCAGATGATGGACTAGCGCGCGATGTCTTCAAACTATCTCCTCTGTAAGGATCCAGTCCATCTGTGTTTTCTCCGGAGTATTTGTTGACTAAAAGGCACTTGACTGGTTCTATCCCAGAGTTCCTTGTTGCTTATTCTCCTCGGCTATTTGATTTTTAACATGTATTAAAAGAATGTGTTGGTGAAGTCTGTTGGAGGTGCTTTTCATGACGCTTAGTACAAGTTTCTGACTCAGACAGAAGAATTAATCAACTTGAAATTGGTGTTGGAAATTCGAATCTTGCCCGTCACACTGAATGCAGTAGATTTCCAAACTGATATCAGACTGATAAAGGTGTATCTTTCCTTTCCGATTCAGACAGGCCTTGATAGCTTCATCGGTTCCTTTTCTAGCTGAAAATATACTGCCTATGTAAGTGGAAGAGATGACTTCCTTCAAATTTCTCCAGTCGATGGTGACTGGTGGTTTTTGTTGGTTGGTTGGTTGGTTGGCTATTTTCATCATCTTTGTCAACTCTATGTTCACTTGAAGTTTTGTCTTTGTTGCCTGTGTCTTCTGCCAATTGGCCAGTTTTCGCCCATAGATCTTCGAGTTTGTGTGACAGACACAAGTCATCCATGAAGTTTGGATGCTTTAGAGTCTTCTTATCACTCCAACATATTCCTGTCTCCTCGCTTCCCACGTACGGCTTGCACATAAATCAGTCCACCACAGTTAGGAATATCATCACTGGTGTTAAGCAGCCAGTCTTGTCTTACTGCTGTATTCACTTAGAATGCCTTGCTGAGCTCTCCGTTGTGGACCACTTAACAAGGGACATTGTCATATAGCCAGTTGTTGAATGAGGCTGATAGCAATTTAGGGCACCCTACAGTGTAGTAGTGAAGTAGTTTCGAAATTATTTCACATTCAATGTTGTCGAATTCCTTTTTAAAGTCGGTGAAATTGGGGTAGAGATTTAACTGCCATTCTATTGTCTGTTCAATGATGATGTGTAGAGTTGCACTATGATTCGCACTTGATTTGCTTTTCCTGGATTCCAGCATGTCCTTAATCAAATTAGTGCCTTCTTATCTTGAGGTTCATTACATGAGCGGTTATATTTATATCTGTTCTTACAAATTATACTTCCTTTTTATGATAAAAGCATCATACATAAATGATCTTTACTTAATCAGAGAAATTGAATATAACATTTTATTATTCCAAAAATAATTGAAATAACGCATTTTCGAAGAATAAATTCTCAAAACAGGTTAGGGTCGATTGAATAAACTGCACAATAGGTGGCTCTCGTGGCCCAAGTGGTCTAGTGGATATCGCTTTGGCTTTTGAAACTATGAGCACTGCGTTTGAGCCTCCGTGGGAACATCATCACTCACTGGGGAATGCAGGTACATCTGGCTGACGAGTGCCATATAGGACGAAATGCGCGTCCTGGATTCCACTGCTAGTCACTATCCACCAATTAATTCTTATTTTGGTTATTAGTGTCCTGCATTGGTATCCAGGATGCTTATTTTTTTCTTATTTAAGACCAGTAAGTTGAATGCACCTGCAATCCACAATTAGTGATGATGTTCCGACCGTGTTTCGAACACAGCACCTATCTTATGAGACTTCAAAGCATTGTTTACTCTACCACTGGTGTACAAATGCCATCAGTCACTTGATATGCAATTACAACATTCAGCTAACGAGTTACAGATACGAAAAAATGCGCACGTTGAATTCCACAGCAAAGCTACTATCAGACAAACAACATCATGTTTACCTTTAGATGTCGTCGAAGCGTCTGTACCAGCAGTCGGCATGTCAGCACAGAGACCAGGTATCTCTGTTCATCAACGTAATCAATCAAGAGGGAAATACAAATAAACTATAACAGTAGAAAATAATTCAAGCACATCAGAATCTACAATCATGAAACGAAATCATATTTATACAATGTCTAGGACTTAACACAATATCTGAAGAAGGGATAATGTCAGTGTGATAAAGCTTTCGATATATACACATACTTTATCTTTCTTATATTTTGTCATTATCAAGTTGATTTTTAGAGAAAAAAAATACAACCAAATAACACAAAGTAAACGTTAAACCGAAAGTTTTTTGTCATTCATATCGGCATAGTTCATCATTCTTTTGAATGATATAAATATGAAGATAAGGGAAAGTACAAATCGATATCAAACAGTGATAAACGTCTGTCTGTTCTATCATTTTATAATCTCGTGTAACTCTGATCTGATTGGTTAGCGCAGCTTTTGTATAGGAATAGATATTTGATTTATACAATATGCTTGGTACATTGATTGATTGATTGTAAAAGAGGGTTTTCTCGTGTGTGTATGTGTGGTGGTGTGTCTGGGTTCAGCCCATTTCGGCTTTTCAATTAAGCACAGACACAAATGAGAAATATGGTATACAAATAGCAGATGTTTCGTTTTTATGCGAAACTTATTCTGACAATGGAAAATTAGAAGAAATTTTTTGACAGAAGTGATTTTTTGTCGACTAATGGTTTTGGTTACTTTTTCGTATGGTCACTAAATAATATATTGGTTAATTTCATGAAATTGTTCTGTTTTGTGGGTTTTTTTTCCACATCTATATGACACTTTCGTTAAAACCCTGGATTGTTCTTTTTGCTAACCGATTATAATAGTCAAGAGATAGTGACTGATATATCACATGGTATAAAAGTGTGATAAGAATTCTGAAAAGGCTTGGGAAGGTTGTCTGGAATGAAAGAAGGATAGCCGAAGAAAATAAACGAATCACCAAATAGTCAGTTCAGTGCAGGATTAAACAAATTTTACTATTTTAGGTTTAATTACGGTTTGATGTAACAAGAAATCAGAAAAATATTAGTAGCAGTTTAGTTTGTGGCTATCAATCCCTTCGGTAGACAGTTATTAGTCACATTGCCTACTTAATGCCCATCTGGATTAGTCGGATGCTAAGCTAATCCCCTTCCCCCAGATAGATGTTACAGTGTCGCGTGCTCTGTCGTCACCGATATGTGTTAGCTGTCTCCTTGTGCTTGACGAAAGGGTTTAATGAGCTAGCTGATGGTTTCTTTGAATCAACTAAGGACAAATATCCTTTGAATTACGACTAGACGTCACCTCTTATTTTCTGAGCAACGTAGAGGTCGGTTCGCATTCCATCTTGGTCTAGCTTTCTACTACAGCAAAGTTATTAACTACTTGTTTACGTTTGAAACTTCACCAGTTTTTTATCCATCATATATCTGTACTCAGAGTCGAGATCAAATTGCCATTCATAAAAAAGTTTGATGACAGTGCATACTACTCTTTTATTGAAATGAGTAGTTGAGTACTCCTCACATCAAACAGTAGTTTTCGATAGGTTGAAGTGATGTAAACGTCGGATGGCTATCAAGGTTGTTTGAAATCCGACGCAATGTACCCGGTGTGCCTCATCTCAGACAGCCGAGTCAGTTCAAATCACTCGAATTCTGTCTCACTACTTGGACCGAAACAAGCGAAACGACCGATCAGAATTTGGATGTGAGTGGTATCTGTTTATTGAAATCACCCAATCAGTAGTATGTAGCATGTTTCTTCCCATTTTAGAAATTTAAGGCATCAAGCAGATCACATGATTTGATCTGGATAATTCCGTTTTCCTAAGTAAACTTTGGTGAAATCTCGCCTAGAGCTGTGTAAAGTGCAAATTAATTTACAAACTGTGAATTTGATTTATGCTGTTACCTGTTCGCTCAAGTATCTGGCTAGAAATCGGGTGGTTTGAATTCATTCAGCTCTCTCAGCTGAGTTAAACAGCATACACTGGCTGTTTTGCTCATAGTTCAATCTGGCTAGCAAGTGCTATTGCTTAATGCAAGTGGTATGCAACTACTGATGTCACTTAGTTAGTAGTTTATAATTTCATGAAGAAAGGTATTGATTTTCCGTCTACATAAGATCATTTTTATTGATTTATTTTTTTTAAAATTTCTCTATTTCCGAGTAGAACGTAAGGGTTTAAGATAGAGCTTTGATTTTTCAGTAGCAGTGGTTTTATTTTACCTGGGAGGGATTGCTAGCCTTGAGTCCAACCTTTCCTCTTTATCACCCTTGCTACGAGCTTAGAAAGGTAAATGAGTGCGTCGGCGGAGACTGAACCCCGGAGTACAAACATGGTTGTCAAGAATTCTCCTGCTGAACCACCGATGGTGTTTTTAACTAGTTGGAAATTGAAGCGGACAGGTGGGAATTGTTATTGTTGAACACCCTTCCTGAAATCCACCTTCATTGTCAATTACGTCAAGGTAAATGACATGCTTACAGTTTTAACATATAATCAATGTGTTAAAATTCCACTCATTAAACTATAAATAACAGGAACTAACATTATGCAATTACATTCTTTCATTCAAAGAGACATGATCATTAATGCGTTGAAGTTCTCACTTCTATTTGTCTTATTGTCAACTTTATTCACGACTACTTTGTGCCGAAGAAAAGAACTGCCTAAAGATTTAAAAGAAATATTTAAACTTCATAAATACTATCGTAATTCAATTCTACTTTGTCAGGTACCAGGCCAACCTCCAGCTAAAGATTTAGAGAACATTGTGAGTTCTTAATGATGTAAATTTTTGCTGGTGTCTTATTGAATGCACAGGGTGTTTATTGATAACATAGAGTGATTTCAGTTCTCAGTTGCTGGTTGTCTTTTTACTGAGTAAACTATCTGGCGGCCTGTTTAAATCCCTGGGCTGCTGAGACTTCCATCCATGGTAGTGCTTAAGGTCTTGTGTATTTATTATCGTCCTAATCATGCAATTGTATCCAGTGATCACTATACGAATTGACGCACGTTTTTAATTAGTTTTCAACAAAATGTTGTACAGTTCTAAAACGAAATGAAGAAACAACATAGTAGGTGTTTTGTAAATTATATTATTTTTTCCAATCGGGTCACCTGGGTCTTTCAGTCTGCAGAGCTTGTCTCTGAGTGAGTTTGTAGGTTTAAATGCCACCCTGATTCCTACTTTATTAAGAATCCTACGTACGGTTTCAGATGTCCCCTCCTTGTATGGTACAACAGTAGATGCCTTATATTCTCTCTTATTTCTGTTATTATTATTAGTTTCATCGTTATCTTTGTTTCGCTTATGACCTTTTCTGATCTTCCTAATGAATTTTAAAGGATAGTTATTTAACGCCATAGCCTTTTCTTTCCGCTTCGTTTCATCATTCAGGTTTTTTGTTGTACTACCTCGTAGTATTGCTCGGTTTGTTAGACAATTAAATAAACCTAACTTAACAGTTAACAAATGAGATGAAACGCAGTAGGGAATTGAATCTTTGTTAATGTGGAACATAACTGCATCACTTGATAGACTGCGGTTTATTTTACTTGGAAGTTCTACATGAACGGGAAATATCTTCCAACTAAATAATTTAAGTTTTTTTGTACTATGTGTTAACATATTATCTCAAGCTCAAATCACAATGTGTTCTACTTGATGATAGCATAAATGACGACCAAAAAAGCAAACAAAATCTCATCATGGCATATTCTACTACTACTAATAGTTTGGAATCTCCTATGTTAGCCAGTAGTACTTACTAGGATGTCTTGTCATTCAAGAAAGTCACGTAGAAATTATTTTCTTCAAGGTGGAACACGTTACAGAAACGAGTCACAGTAATAATAGATTCTACAGATTTGATTCCGTACTAGTTTGTTTATTAGATAGATCACACAGTGAAACAGTATTATTTGCTGGATGACGTTTCGAACACAATCTAGTATTGTTCATAATCATATCAGTTAGAATCACAAGACTTCGAAACCTGAGTTTTATAGTTTTCTTTATTCTTCTCTGTTTGTCGTAGAGGTAGTAGAATTCTCAGGATGTTCATGTAGATAGGTGGTGAATCATTCCTATTGTACGTATTTGCAGTTGATTCGATAAATAAGGCTTCCGTTATTAATTTATTCCTCCACCATGTTACATTAGATTCTATTGTATGGTTGTGTGTAATTGCGTTTGGTGGTATAGCTGAACTATTTTCTGAATTTCCTATCTTATTCAAGTCAAATTATCTAGATTTTGCTAGGTTTTTATACTCGGCTGGTCTGACTTCACCTGTTCTACTACTTCGACCTATGTATTTGACCTGAAAGTCATTCAACCAGGGTATTAAATAAACTAAATTGTTTTGTTTTAAAGGCTCCATAGGATTGATCTTTCAACCGACAAAGTTTGTTTGAAAGCCAACCACTTTTATTCCTGCCTTGTTAAGAATTCTGCGTAACTTGGTTTCCGAGGTTCCTTCCTTGTATGGAATTACCACTGATGATTTGGATTCCTTATTGTTGGTGTTGTCTTGCGCATATTTGACATGGATGTCATAAATAATATTACGATTATCACTATCACTACTATCATTATTTATTTCTTTACATTTCCCTACATATTTCCCTACTAATTCATCAGATTAGAAACTGTGTTTATATGGTGTAAAATTTCACCAATTCTATTTCTGTTTATTTTCTGCCACTTTTAATTTAGCGCTGGAGTAAAAGGTTGGCTAGAAATGCTCAAAGACTGGCCGATAAATGTGATATTAAAGCCGAATTTTTCAATGAAAAATTACTTGATCATTATGAATCTGTAGGCCAGAATATTGCCGAAGCTGATTCTGTTAAGAGGTAATCATGCGATATGCTATTTCTTAACTTTCTAGTGGAATGGAAAAATGGTTTAGAGAATCTGATCATTATGATTACAAAACTGATAAATGTACTAAAAGATGTGCCAACTACAAACAGGCGAGTGATAATTTTTGGTAAAAGCGATTATTTTCATAATTTTGGTACATCACCTATTTTGGGATGTTTGAGAGGTTATGTCAAAAATCCTTAGAGTTTAGTAAAGTGAGCCCGAAGGCTGGGCATACAGATATGTCAGGGTGATAAGTGCCAAGCATCTGGTTACCAGGAGCTTCAGACTTGTAGTTAGTGATAGTGTAGCGTGTTCTACTGATAAAATTTGTCAGTAGTATATAAAGAGACATTCATTGAAAATGTCAAACAGGGGAGAGATAAATTTGATATCAAAGAAAGCAAATGATTAGCCTTTGCGACAAAACATGGGAGACACGAAAGGAAGACAAAGAAAGACAATACGAAGAGCAGAGTTGACATAACACCGGAAATCTTTGTAAGTGATGATTTGGAGAAAAGTTGTGCATAATTGCGATATAAAGAGATGCCGAATTCCTAATGAACATTCTTTTACGAAGTCTAGTGTTTTCTGTTGTAACAAATAGTGTTTCTGTCTCCGGACAATGAAGATTAAATTACCGGCTGCTTCGAGGAAGTTGACATCAGGAGCTTCTTGTGGGACTTCATTGCCATCGTTTTGTTGATGGGCATTTCGGATCCAGTTTCGAAGGCAGTTGTGTTGGCGACGTTGCTGAAAGGTTGGGAAAAGGAGGCATACGACAGTACGGAGCGGTCAAGCGAAAATGGGACTTGCAAGGTGTTGGTTTGACGAGATCGACAGACCGGTGGATAGGCATCTGGCGGAGCGGCAGTTCCATGCCAACAGAGTAGAACTGGATGTAGAACGTCAGTGTTGGCGGTAAAGCTGGAAAATCAACAGCGTCGCTCAATCCCCACATTAGATGAAGAGTGATAGTGACAGTTACTGGCGTCTCTACGCACATTATTGGTAAATATTATCAGCAGCCCATTCCATAAGATATTAGACAATAGTATTGCAAAGCTTAGTTTACTGACCATCCTAGGCACATGACTACTTCTTCCAAAAAGGCTACATTGATTACTACTTCATAAGTACTATTTTTTGTTCAAAATCCATCATCATCATCATGATGATCTTATTAGTCATCCCATAAGTTCATAGTGGAACATAAGGCTTCAACAGCATGTTGACTTTTCAATTAACTGACTCCATGACTGCCCATAAGATTTCATATCCTTCTCACAAGATCACCTTCACGTCCCATACGGGTTCCACACAAGGGTCTGGTGGGTGATGTCACTCGACGATCTCTTCAGCGTGTGTTCAAACCATCCAAACTTCTCTATGCAGTGTTGGTCGGTTTGTCGCCAGAGTTCCTTGTTGCTGACTCTTACTGGCCACTTAATGTTCAGCATAAAGCTAATTAAAACGAGATTGTTGCAAGTTACTAAGGTGACGGGCAAGTCTCAAAATCGATAAAACATGCCTCCTGGATTCTAAGGCTACCCACAACTCATCGAACGGTTAGTATACCTTCATCAGTTGTTTCCTCAACTCCAGTCCTTACTCAACCTGCTGTAGGTAGAAGATCTACAGGTTTGACGCCTAAAGGAAGCAAGTTATTCGCATACTTTCGTCGACGAATTTGTCGGAATTATTATTTCCTTTATTCCTCAGTGCTTTTTTGTGTTCATACAACAGTTGTAATTAAATCAAACATTATTAAGCATGTAATGCTCTTTTACTGTTTTCTAAAGATGGTTTGGGCCAAGACAAGACATGTTGGATGTGGCATTAAACAGTGTAAAGGAAAATTGATGTTAGTATGCAATTATGCTCCAGCGTAAGTTTTGTATTAGAAGGCTGTGCTTGATTCTTTTTTTTAATGGTTTTTTTTTCGTAAATATTCCTGATCCATTTCACATATGTGCAGAACAGTTGTAATAATTGTGAATGATTTTAAAATCAACTATTAGATACTAATTCAGTTGATGAATGTCGGTGAATTATTTTGAAAATAGAGTTGTCAGCTTCATGCTCAATCACCTGTCTTTATCGAGACTACTACCAGATAGGTGAGTTGGAAGAGTGCAACGGCAAGCGATCGAAACCTGGCCAATTCTGTAGCTGGCCATTGTTCTACCGCTTAACCATCGATGGACATTATTGGAAATGAATGACACTTAATGATTGCTCCTGAATAGCAGAGATTTGATAGGATCCTTCGCAACTCAGCCTTTGAATAATAATATGCTTTAATAAACTGTTGAGTGTGCGTTGTTTGAGTGAGTCAGCGGCACAGTGGTAGAATGCTCGCCAAACACGCAGGTGGTCCAGGGTTCGATCCCCGGCTGGCGTACTCCTTTACCTTGCTAAGCTTTTAATGATATGTAAAGAGGAAAGGTTGGGGATGAGGCTAGCAACCCCATCCGGTAAAAATAATCACCACTGTTACAGAAACTTCAAAGATCAAGACCTAACTCCTTATGTAACACTGGGAATGTAAACGAATGACACATAAAAAAATAAAGTTCATATTTTGAGAAGCTGAGAACAACATTTTCCAGTTTTCAAGTGTTGGTTTGTAGGGATTTGATTGGTTACAGTATTTTCATCATGAGCTGACATTAGTTAGAGAACCATTGGAAAACCTGGGAATACTGGACAGCTATTTCGTCCTAGTTCGGGACTCTTCAGCAGTACACACCTATCGGGATTCGAACCCAGGACCTTCTGGTTACAAGGCGAGCTCGTAGACAATTAATCCACTGGGACCCGATCCCATGGCCCACGAATTCTAACTTCTACCAATTCACGACATAGCGCGACCCCAGCCAATGTTTTCGGCGAATATTTGTCCTCACACCCAACCTGCTGCACCCTACTGGGCATGACTTCTCACTACAACCCCAGCTAACTACCTACCTGAATACGGCCAGTCACTAGTGAGCATATCACTGATATCCAAGTGTTGGTTTGCAGCTACGAATACTGACATATATTCACTAGAATATTTTGATTCAATACATGTTGAACAGTAGCGTAACTCCGCTAAAATCATTTAATAGTGCAATTTATCCTTTTAGATCTGATGATAAGGGAAGACCGTATGAAGAAGGAAGTAAAGAACAGTGTGTACCACTGAAATAACCAGTTCCACAATCGTTGTGATGGAGGTTTATGCTCAATGATAAGTATCATGATTAAATAAAAATTATAAACAAAATTTCATTCCTACTCTTTGGTTTACTTATTTGTTACATTTGGCATGTTTATATTTATCAGTTTGTGACCAGTTTAAAAGTAAATCTAATGAAAAAGAAACCCATGTCTATGAAAGAAATAACAAGAGCTAAAGTCGTCAGTGGAAAACTATTTCATCTGGATTTCGGAAACGTTACCTCGCTAAGGAAAGAGTCTGTTGAGACTGAGGTTAGAATAGTTTAGTCTTAAGGTATGCTTCCCTACCATTCGTTTGTTGGTTTGAAATTTACTAGAGCATTATTTTCAGTTCTCGATAGACAAAATTTGTCATCTGGTGACATAACTATGTTACTTGCTCAACTTGTAATTCGTCGATGATGTGTATAACAATCCTTAATGAGAACTTAAAGAACTTTACGATTTAAATAATCGATTTTTAAGTATTTGGTTAAGATTTATATACGTACAGACCTAACATAGAAATACTGATGAACCCTCTGGTAGAGAAGGGAAGCGACAAATTGTGTGGTGGTATGAGGGGGAAGTCAAAGTTTATGGGGGATTTTGGAGCAGGGTAAAAAAAGGCTGCAAAGAACAGAGTGGAGTGGAGATGTCCTGCTTGGAAAGTCTTAGTGTTCAATGGTTTTGCGATAGACTATATTGGATAAGTTTATTAGGTATAGTAAAAAGTGATACAGTAATTACAACTGGATGGAGTTTTAAGCTCAATTTCTTGTTCAAAATCACATCGTAAATAGATGTGGCGCTCAGAATTTATTCCACTTGCTAGTTCTGTATCCCTGTGTGCCACATCTTATGCTCTTGCTCAATATGAAGTCATATCTTGCTGCACTCTCCGAATTTTAAATTTAGACTAGGTTGAAATACTTGGGAGCTCACTAAGAACTAATGAAGAAAAGTTCTCAGGCATAACGTAAATAAGGGGTAATCAACTGCTTCAGAAATACCGTGTGACTTGTGAGAGTTAGATTGGGTGATTGCTGACACTAGTCTGACAGCCAGGAACAACTTTCATGGCTGTAAGTATCTATCAGCATGCTGTATATGTAACGTTAAAAATACGGTAAAAATTAATGCAAAATATTTATTTTTTGCAAGAAATGTTGGACATTATGCACCACTGAATGAAATGAATAACTAAAAACCACTAAGTTTAATGATATGCCTGCCAGTTATACTGCAATCATGCAAACGCAAGACAGGTGTTTCAACAATCGTGTCAATCAGTAGAAAATTACATTCCCTTTTCTTATCCGCTCTTTCTAAGGCAGTCTTTTGATCGCGTAAATCACTATTTTTAGCTTGAATATACTAATTTTCTATGCGATTATGTTGAAATTTTCAGCAGTCACTTATCTCTAACTTTGTTTTTCCGATATAAAATAAGAACACAGAGTGATCAGTGAGAGGTAACATTTCTAATTTAGGATATTTATTAGCAGCCTGTTAACCCTTTAGTATGCATGGGGTTGTGTGAGAATAGCTAGGGAGGAAATCTCGTGAGAACGGCAGTGGTAAGACTATCTAAGTTATTGTCTGTTGGTATGCCATGGCTTTATATGAAAAACACAGATCATTTAGACAATTCATTTGATGTAACCATCCGGTTTCTATATAACTTCAAGTACCAGATATCTTCTTCAGCAGTCTAAGTAAAGAACAAGTATGAACGCAGACTAATATCATTTGCAGAACCATTGAACATCAGAAAGCACATGATACTTGTTTCATTTCAGCTAGGGACTTTCCAAAAGTACGCACCCATGACCCTATATCAAGGGTAGAACCCAAGACCTTCAGGTTACGAGGTGAGCTGCTTGAAAACTAACCCGCTTAGAAGGATTCTGAAGGCCAATGAATTCTGACTTTTATTGATTCGTGACTTTTAGTGCCACTGCTAGCCAATACCATGGGCCAGTATTTATCCTTACAGCTAACCTAGTGGACACCAATGGCCACGACTTCTTACTAAACCTGCAGGCAGCTTATTACCATAGTCACTCACAGACAATCTTCAATTAATTTTCAAGAATAGTTTGTTGTGATTGAATTGTTTCTAATTTTGATCACAGAATGGTTGATCTCTCATGGGATCAGGGATAGGTACCGCTGAACAGTCTGATACTAAGATGAAACTAGTGTCCAGTACTGATTTTCAATAGTCCTCTAACCGATATCAATCCATGATCAAAACTGAAATATTAGTGAAGTCCCTACAAACTTACACTTCAAGACTAAATTTATGTTGTTCTGCTACAATTTAAAATCAAAATGAATATCAGAAAGTTCCAGAAATTCTGGATTTTGCGAATGATTTCTGTCTAATGTCACACAAACTCGATAGCTTACAGGCGAAAAAAAACAACAAACTGGCGGAAGAAGCAACAAAGAAAGAACTTCAGATGGACGTATGGAAGACAGAGCTGATGAAGATGACCAACCGATAATAAATGCCAGCACTAGTCATTATAAACGGAATAAATTTGAAAGAGGTCACTCCCTTCAACCAGAAGCAGTTGGTACGGATAACGGGGGTCACAACCAGAATTGGAAAGACAAGGCACACCTTCATCAACCTGAAATCGGTCAGTTTGGAAATCTTCTTCACTCAACACAGAGAGCAAAGGTCGGATTTTCAACATCAATGTTAAATCAGTTGGTCCTTCTGTATAGGTCATGAGCTTGGCGTGAGCGTTACGAAAAGCACTTCCAACAGATGACTTTTTTTTCAAAAACTGCCTTCACACTAATATAAGTGTAGAACTTGGGCACTGCGGTAGAATGTAATTCCATATTGTACAAATTTATTTTAAGTATCACGCAACGATGTAGCATTAACAACTTTCCCCTATGTTGAAGATCAAATAGGCAGAAATAATTAGCAACAAGAATCTAAGAGAACGAACTAACCACTAACTTATTGCTTTATAAATATGTAGAAGTAAATGGAGATAGATTGGAAACACACATGGAAGCCCCTCAAATGACATCAAGAATCACCTGAGTGGAACCCGAATGGGAGACGAAAAGATGGAGGATGCTCTGAGTGTGATATGAAAGAGATGGTGGTAGGAGGAGGCTAGAAACTATTGGTAGTCGTGAGGCCCGGGGAAAGAGGACCACAGAAAATAGGACAAAGAGGAAATGTGCTGCCCAAGCCATATTTTCCACTAGGAACCGAAGGAAAAAATAATAGTAATAAACTAAATTGAGACCTATGACAGCAGGATTTTGTTTGTAAGTCATTAGTGAACATTTATGCACCATTTCTATGATTTACTGCCTGTAAGATGAGACTTAAATAACTCATTTACAAGTTTTGCATTTCTTAAACTACTTACTACGTAGCAGTTTATGCATGTGAAAAAAAATATATAAAACTATGAAAAGTGTGTCAAAAAGATTTAGGTTGGATGATCAGTATTATAGTGCATTGGTAGTTCAATGGCTGAATACTCGCCAAACACACGTTATACAGGTTTAATTCCTGGCCAACTCACACCTCTTAGCCTCGCTCAGACAGTAGCGAGTCCAGTGAAGTGAGAAGGTCGTCTGTAAGGCTTGTAATCCCACCATGTAAGCAAAGCATCACCGTCACTGAAATTGAAAAGCCTATGACCTTAGGTTCCATTTGTAACGCAGAAGAATGAAAAATATCAGCAAAATACTTCATAGCTAAATAACTGTGACCTGTTTGCCTTAGTTAGGATGAATAATTGCATTTAGTGAACTGGAATGAATTTTAACAAAATTTATTACAGATCAATAGTTTAAGATAACTGTCATTCGAAAAATTTCTAACCAAACGCATGTATATATGTATATAAGCTATAGGAAGGCGTTTTGTCGTGCCCACCACTTTCCGAATATATATATGTATAATTCAGGGTCATTCTGTCACATGCACTTCATGTAAAAATAACACTTACTTTCTTTTATGCCTTCTGGCATTCTTCTATCATTTTTTAAACCTGCTGTGCATTTAAAATTGTAGTATTCTTATGTTGCATATGTACAAATATTTTAGATAGTGTGTAATATTAGAAAACGAAATAAAAATCTTCTGTACACTTCCCAATCGCAGTCAGAATTCAGCTTAGTTTGTAGATTTAAATACAATAGTCAGAGAATAGCCTGAAGTCAGCTTCTACGATAAAATATTTGCCAGTCATGTTGTTGTTGGTTAGGGTTTGATTTCCATTTGACTCACTTCCTGAAACTTGTTTAGTTTACTTAGCTGAAAATATGGCTGAGAAAGAGGTGAAATTGGCGGTGAGGCTAGGAACCACACCTTGTAGAAATAACAGCACTTCTTATGCAAATAATGAAGCCTGGAGTGCCTTATTCTCCATTCGTACCGCGAAGAAATGAAGAAAAGTCAATTCCTCTAGGAACTAAAGGATAAATTAATAATAAAAATAAATCTAATAGCAGTTATCGATATTAAAAGGTCACATATCATTTAATGTGTAGTACTTACAAATGGATATAAGTAGTATATAGCGAGCGATGTCTTCAGAGAAACAGTGATAATTTTTCTGTTAGTAGTAGAACCAATGAATAATAGTCACAAGAGGAAAGTTCGCAACTTTGGGGAAAAATCCCAGTGGCTCAATGGTCTACGAGCTCGCCTTGTAACCAGAAGGTCCTGGGTTCGAACCCCGGTGGGTGCGTACTGCTGAAGAGTCCCAAACTAGGACGAAACAGCTGTCCAGTACTCCCAGGTTTTCCAGTGGTTCTCTAACTGATGTCAGCTCATGATTAAATCCTCCATACAATCAAAACAAATCCCTACAAAACCAACACTGAAAAATCTAATATCATAGAAAAAAGAACAATAAGCTCAGACGATTTCATCTTCAAACGCTGTACCGTTGCATTAATATACATAAGTTTACATTGTCACAGTTATTATAATTATTATT